TTTTTGTCTTTTATACCAAAGCAATATAAATTGTTTTTGGTGAAACAAACAAAGCGAAAACCAAATTCCGCGACCGGTCCAATCCAGTTCAAACTAGTTTCAAATCAAAACCATGCAAAGGCCACCTTTGATGTGGGCAACACGAATTTTAGTTGCAGATAAATCGAGAAAATTATTCGGGCTGGTACGTACGGAATGTCTTTGTACATTTATATGTATAAATACGCAATGTTTAGTTTAATTTGATGAATATATAAATATACAATCCTTTAACGTTTTTATTTTACATTAATTATGTTACAGGCCAATTTTAATGTCAATTAGCAGCTAGATCTGCGACTTTGTCAAGAGTAAATGAAATAATAAGTAGAATTGTAACCAATTTTTTATACAGAATTCAAAATCTTTTGAAAACTGACTGAGAAGATATAACTCCAGAATTTAAGAAAAACCAAAACCCATTTTCATATTATTTTTATGTTGTTATTAAAAATATTTTATTTGCATTCATTAATGATTTTCTTTTTATAATGTAAAAATATTGTTGCATATTTTTACCTGACTATAAAGATAGAAGATGGAAAAAGACATATAAAATTTTAAAAAGATTTTTGATAAAGCAAGGGTTAGTTTTATATACATACATAGTTTTAGTCTATATATGTATGTAGATCGCCAATTACTTTCTCATTGTGATTATTTCTTGTAATTGTTTGTATTTATAATAAGTTTACTATTGTAATCTTTTGGAGGAAACAATAAAGAGTATCTATCTATCTATCTATGTTTATATTTATACGTGTTCTACTATAATTCTTAAATTACGTACCAATTTATTTTTGATGATTGTATTAATCGATTCATTATTACAGTTTGGGTGATATAGGATTTTACACAGGTGAAATGAAGATTTTTTTTTTATACAACTTAGAATGGTAGACAAGCTGACGGCCCACCTGATGGAAAGTAGTAATCGTCACCTATAGACATGAGCAGTACCATGGACATAACAGAGTATACTGTTTCGTCCATGATACCCCTCATATGTTGCCATTCCTGAGGACTCAGGTGTTATTCCTCTATACCCAGTAAATTCACGCCATATCCCACCCTTCAAACTGAAACACAGCCATGCAAACACAATTGCTTTACGGTTGAAACACGAATGGGACAGAGGTACCCAAGCAATCGACTTTGGTACAAAGTCTACCTCTGGTAGAAGGTAACAGTTTTTTACTTTTTAATTTATTATTATTTATTTTATCCTTATTTCAATGTATAGTTTCTATACCTTTTCTTGTTATATATATATGTAGATATTGTGTGAAAGATACCCGAACAAAAATTCACTCACATAACATTATTCCTCGAAATATATACAGCGACATCCATCAAGGTAATACAAATTCAGCGTAACATTAAAAATAAAATTACAAAAATATTATTTGAACTCGCTACAAAAGCATGACTTAACAATGAATGTGTATAATCCAAAAAGTATGCTCTTAACGTCGACTGGTTGATACATACAACATGCCGCTATTTTGCCACCCACAACTTTACGTACATGAGTTTAAAATTATCGTACACAATCATAAACGTCGCCGCGACAAAGTCACGTGCTACCTACCACCTTACACTCCAATTCCCCCTACACCCACTGCGTCCACGCATCCCCCTGTCACGTTTTTGGTAAACTTTGCCGGCTGAAATTATACCCTTCATTTATTATAACAGGGTGAGTTATTGCACGCAAAGCGTCTTGTTTCGTAATAGTTTTAGAGGAACCCTGTTGTTTGTTTTTATACCTCATATTTTATTACTATTTCTTGGAAGGTTTAAATTAAGATCCTATTATTTATACATAAACAAAATGGAAGAAAGATTTGAAATGGGTTTCTCTGTGATTTGTACTCGTATGTGAAAGTGTAATGTTTTTATGTTCGTGACATAGGAGGTATAACGATTTAATGGAAAATCAATATTATTTTTGGACTATTAAGGTCCGAAATCCGAAGTCCGTCTGATGATGTGCTTTTGGACGCTTCAAACACCACAAGTATCATATGCATTTTGCATAATCGTCATTCATCACCATGTAATAAAAAAAAAACTATTGGTAAAAAATTACTATTCACAAATGTTTGTAATTAACTTTATGTACTTAATCTTAAAACTTAAAAGCTTAATAGTTTTGAGGAAAAAAATAAATTAGAGGTCGCATATGTATTGCTAATTATTTAAAAATTATTAATTAAAATTATTAGTTAATTAATTAAAAAAAGTAAACGAGAAGAGAACATTGATTAAAATAATAAAGAATAGAAGAGGCAAAATGCTGGGCCACCTTATACGACATGACGATTTTTTTAAGAGCATAATAGAAGGAAAGATAGTGGGCAAAAGAGGAAGAGGAAGACCGAGGATTAACTACTTGGGACAGATAAAGGAAACACTAGGCGTCATGTCGTATAGGGAGATAAAGGATATGGCCTGGGATAGAGCTGGCTGGAGGAAGATGCATGAATTAGTTGCACCGACAAGAGGAAACTCTTAAATGAAAATGAATGAATGTTTTAAGGTCTTGTTATTAATATTTATAGTATTTAAATATAAGGTTATATGTATGTATATTTCCAAAACTAATAACGTAACTTTTAAAATATTTTTAGTCTAGTATTATCTAATTGCTTAAAATTGTTTACTTCATTTCTTACTGTAGGTTGAAGCAAATTCTGTCAATGTTCCTATAAATAAATAAATAATGAAATATTATTTTTATTTTATTATTGTTTCTATTATTTTCAGTGATATGTGTATATACTCGTATATAAATATTTTTTTGTATTATTATTTAAGTGAAAAAATAAATAAATAAGTAAAATAAATAAATCTGTCTGCTATAAATATATATACTCACAATTATCAACGTCGATTTTATCATTTTTAGCGTCACACAAAACCTCTGAAATTCATAACGGGAATGTCGGGCATGGTTATAGCCGACTTCCCGAGCTGGCGTGATCTACGCCAGGATATCCTGGAAGCAGCGTTTTTACATGCCGCCGATGATATACCCGTCTACGTCTGCATGCTATTTTAACGTTTATGACGAGATGTATTTTTTTTTCAAATTTTAATTAATTAATTTATTTATTTAAAGGATCACCAATAGCATATTGCATTATAACACATATAACAAACATTAAATATAATACGATATTAATGCACACGCCTATTAAAAGTATTCACAGCATTTACTTTAACATAATTATACAGTATGAAATGAAGTATGTTTTATTTTATATATATATTATTTATATATATATATATTTTTATTTTATTAATTATGCTATTTTAAAAGGATTTCCTATTCGTTCATATTTCTTTTTGAGTGTATACATATTGGATATTACGCGGTTTCTTTACAGATACGTATTTAATAAATAATATTGAATTATAAAGAATGCTGTGATTAATTGATAACTTTTTATTTTCTTTGTTTTTATGAATATATATATATACATACATATCAGGCTTCACCTGCCCATTCTTACACATAAGCCTCCCCCTTAGGTGGTTTTGCCAGTTGTTGCCACGCTTGACAGGCGGATTGGCAACCGTTGTTAGGCTTTGAGGATATTTTAAGACGCTGTTGCCCATCCCTCGTGCTCCCTTAGAGGCCTCTTACGACACCGACGGGAAGGAAAAAGGAAGAAAAGAAGGGATAGCCTATTGTATGCCGGGACATACAATGCCGAAAGAAATGTTCATGTATATGTACCTAATAATATTATACTTATCTTAATTTGATTCCTTCTTTTTATAATTCAGTCGTTAGTATAAATATATATATTTACCTGAGGAAGATTTTATACAAATGTCGTTTGCTTAGGTACCTCTGTCCCATGCGTGTTTCAACCGTAAAGCAGTTGTGTTTGCATGGCTGTGTTTCGGTTCGAAGGGTGGGATATGGCGTGAATTTACAGGGTACAGAGGAATAACATCTGAGTCCTCAGGAATGACTACGCATGGGGGGGTATCATGTATGCGAAACAGTATACTCTACTATGTCAATGGTACTGCTCATGTCTATAGGCGACAGTTACCACTTTCCATCAGGTGGACCGTCAACTTGTTTGGCATTCTAAGTTGTATAAAAATTTCTATTATTATACAAAAAAAGTAAATTCAGAATTAAATAAATGTTATTAAAATATTACCGTGTTATTTCTTGTTTTGGCACAGAATGGTCTATCCCTTTCTTGTTCGTGTGTGTCGTAAGAGGCGACTAAGAGAGGGCGTGGGATAGGCAGCAGCGTCTCTTTTAAAACATCACTTAAGTCTAACTGCTGTAACCACATGCCAAGCATGATAACTTTTTTTTTATACCACTGAGGTGGCAAACAAGCATACGGCCCACCTGATGGTAAGTGGTTACCATAGCCTAAGAACACCTGCAATACCAGAGGCATTACGTGTGTGTTGCCGACCCTAAAGAAGCCTCTTTACCCCCCTTTTGAAAAACCTCATGCTGTAGTCTCTTGGGAAAACCTCGGCAGGGAGCTCATTCCACAACCTGAGTGTTCGTGGGAGGAAACATCTCTGAAACCGCGCAGTACGCGACCACTGAGGCTGTAGGACATGAGAATGATCTCCCTGTCGATGGCGAGCCGTACAATGGTAGAAAGTGGCTGTGGGCATCATATTGAACAATTCCTCCGAGCACAATCCATTGTACAAGCGGTAGAACACGCAGAGTGAGGCAAAGTAAAACCTCCAGATGAAAGGCTTATCTTCAACAATGAACAAATAATGGCTGATTTGATGATGATGAATTAAAATTGAAAAGAAATTGATCACAGTTTAAAAAAATCTACTTTTTCAGCTGCGCCCTCTGCGGTAATGTTAAGTAATTAATTATACGTATTTTATAATTGGAATAATTTAATTTAATTTTGTAATCGAACGTAAATGTAATTAAATATGTAGCCGCTTACCGACTGGGCTCTCTTCATTCCAAAACGAATCGTCCAGTGTGTAATCGGCTTCTGCAACAAAGAAATTGGATATATTTTAATAACGCCATTTTCAATTACTATGCCCAGACATTTTCATTAACATCGCAAATTGAAACGAGATTATATCGAAATTATACTTTCCATTTTGTTAATTTAATAAAATTAAATTCAAATTATAGCGGCCCAAAATTATTTAACAAATTGTTACTGAAAGCTGTTCTATTAATATTGTTAGTGAAATGTCTGTACGCATTTTGAGGCACCCTGGCAAATTAGCGAATAAGATTTTTAATAATATTCCAATAGAGTAAATTAGAAATATAATTTATTTAATAAATTTCTAGTATAATAGTGTTTACTGTATGAATTTTAAAGTTACAATAAATTGCTACAATGTATAAAAAATATAAACCATATATGTAGATATATTTAAAAAGAATTAAAAAAATTGTCGTTGAATAAAGCCTAATTTTTTTTTTTTATTTTTAAGTGTCATTATATAATATTAATATGTCCAATGACGGTAAAATATAGCCCTTTATATTATATACAAAATTAAACTGTACCTATGTTTATGCAAATAAATGATTGATTGAAAATTCACAAGAATCTTACAACGTCCTCCTATGAATATGCCACTAGGGTATATAGTTGAGAGCATAATTTCTTTTTCCATTGTCTAGCATACTCACACAGCTATATAATACATTTGAAATTTCCTCTTTTTTTCGTTTTGGAATAAAATTGAACAATGGTCTAATTTTGAAGTTTTTTTGCCCCATTCATCGTTTCATCGCATTGTTATAAAATTACCTCGTTAAGCCACAAAACAAAGGTGCTACATGAAAATTTTTATAATGACGGAGTATACGTATAAACTCCAGGTGGCTTGTTGGATGGAAATTATAATTTGAGGAGGAAAGAAAAAAGGGGTAATTATAACTTTAGATTTTTATCTGTAAATTTATCTTGTACACCTAAAGAACTTTTTTTTAGTTTAAAAATCCAAAATTATAATAATTGCCTGGTTCTCAAACTAGAACACCTGTGTTGAGAAACCAGGCAGTATCTATCTAGAGGCAACTTTCTATCTGAAACCAATATAAAAAAATCCGTTTTTTTAAGCAACTTAGAATGGCAGACAAGCTGACGGCCCGCCTGATGGAAAGTGGTAACAGTCGCCTATAGACACGAGCAGTACCATGGACATAACAAAGTATACTGTTTCGCCTATGAAACCCCCCATGCGTTGCCATTCCTGAGCACTCGGATGTTATTTCTCTATACCCTGTATATTCATTGCCCTTCAAACTGAAACACAGCAATGCAAACACAACTGCTTCACGGTAGACACAGAATTGGGACAGAGATGCCCAAGCAGACGACTTTGGTACAAAGTCTCCTTCTGGTAAATCCGTTTCCTAAATTAATATACTAATCAAACAAAAATAACCTAAAAAGTCCAATTTAAAATCAAAACAGTGAAACTACTTGCTCTGTCAGCGGAGCCAATAATGGGGCAGCCCTTAAAACAATATTATGGGACTGAAAATGCTGCTATTAACTTTTACGGCACAATAAGAGCAACTCGGCGGGTAAGCCGGATAAGGACTGGGCCGAAACACTAGAGATATGCGATTTATAGAGCACTAGGTTTTATCTGTGACTTCATCTCTGTGATCTCTCTCACCGAGATATGTTCGCAGACCAGGATGAGAAGCACTTCTCCATCCCATATGGTATACCTGTACGTGTATACCAAATTAGAGTCAACCAATAAACTCACTTTTAAATGGAGGAGAAGGAATTGTTGGTAATGAAGATATTAGAAAAATAAGTTTTAAAAATCAATTAATTAAACTAAAATTTGACTAACACTTATACGTACTCGAATACTTGTTCGAGTCATTGGACTTGAGTCAGAATTCGATATTTTTTTATTAATAAATACCAAAATACTCGACAACTAAAAAAAGCCAACTTGGAACATTTCCATTTTGTTTTCAATCTTAGAGTGTCGTATGGATGTATAAATTAATTGTTTGTTGTAATTTTTATAAATTCTGTTGAAAGAGATATTGTGGACAATAAGACTGTATGCTGGTATGGAAATACGGTACCTTTAGAAAGATAATATAATTATGAAAAATATATACAATGCAAACCAAGGAAGCAATAAAAGCGAACGAAAACAAAACTATCTACCAGTAACTTCAAATCACAAACAAAAATTTCTTTTTAATGAAATAAAAAAAAAAAACTAAAAAGGTGCGTCGTTCATTGACATAATGACCTATGATAATCTACTTTTACTATGTAACCACATCAAATTCTGTCAAGCATTCGAATCTTATGATATCACCATTTTACACTTTTTAACACGAAAGAAGTCGTGAAATGAACCGTGATCTTGATATGTGCACGATTGTATCCAAATAATTGTGGAAGGATGTAAAGGAGGGGACGATGAAAGAAAAGATGGATGAACTGTCTGGAAGATGATGTGCATAAAAGAAAAAAATGACTCACTGATGGATGATGGACGTTTATACAAACTTTCAAACCCTTTCTTAGCGCTGGGGGTGAATTTACAAAAATCCTCACTTATCTCTCGTTTAGTATACGCAAGTATCTAAAGAATTCATGTTTCAGAGTTGACAGGTGGTAAAGAGGACCCTATAGTGATAATAGGATAAAGCCAGAGTGATGATGACTTAAAATATTACAGAGAGCTAACGAAAAGGGACTTCAAAATGTTTCTCATTTCTATATTTATTTATTTAAACAATTTTGTTGATCAAAAAAAAAAGTACAGCTTTATTTTATTGAAAAATATTAGTCTATAAAACAATATAGCTATGATCCTACACTAGGCAACGCCTGTCTCGTGGAAGTCAAAGCAAGAAATTAATACCAGCAATGGTACGGCAAACAGAATTAATTTAAATAGTTCAACGTAAGTTTCGGTATTCGCATGTTTATACGTGTGTATGTATGTTTGTGCTTGTGTGCATGCGTGTGTGGGTGTGTGTGTATGAATGTTCAAAGAATATTTTCATCTACTCATTTATTGAGAACATTTACACTTTTCAAGATACACGATTGCGGACAAAGCCGTGTTATACAACTAGTTAAATACAAAACTGTAAGAAATATTATAACATCTATTCACAAATCGCTTACTCTGTCCAAACTGGAGTGTTAATGCTACAACACATTTTACTACTCCGAAATCGTCCCGCTGACTTTTGTGTTTTGAAGCCTACGTCTATAAATTAAGGACTATAATTCGCTACGTTCACAACTTAGAAGTGCTGTCAGAGTCTATTTTGTAAATTTAATTTAAGGGCAGAGAACAAAACACTAGATACTATGAGCGTAAATTGTTTTAAAAGAGACATCGTTGTCGCGGACGCTTTATGAGTTTTATAGAAAAATAACCGTTGTTTTCACTTCGCTGTTTGGTGAAAAAAAGTTTTAATGCTCTTTGTTTAAAAGTGGTTGTGTGAGAAAACCGATGCCCATTGGCACAGGAGTTGGCTAGTGGTAATAAAAATGTTCCTACAAAATTTATATATTAGTAAAACGCGACGCGTTTTCATAACATTTCTTTCACACAATTTCCATTCTGTAAGTTAAAAGAATGGAAATTTTGTGAGTTTAAAGAAACATAATGGAAAAAAAAATTCTTAATTGAAATAATCTTTTTAGGTGAAGTTAAAGGCGAAGTTATTAATTTATCTATTGAATTGTTTTTGTGTTTATATCATCTTTGTCCTTTAATTGTCCACTGCTGAACATAAGCCTTCTCTTAGGGGGTTTTGCCAGTGGTTACCATGCTTGGCAGGCGGAATAGCAACCGTAGTCAGGATTTAGAGGTGTTTTAAGAGGGACGCTGTTGCCCATCCCTCGCCTTCCATTAGTCGACTTTTACGACACCCACGGGATAGGAAGGGTAGGTCTAATCTATGCTGTATATAAATTTAGAGAATTAATTTTGAAAATAGTTCAAGGTTAGGAAATAATTTTCCTAATCTATAAATTCATTCTACATTTAATATAAAATGCCTAAAACAACTTAATTAACAAAAACTGCCATTATCATTTTCAAGCTAATATAACATGTATATGGGAGTATTTCAAAGGTAACAGTCTAATCTTTCTAGTATTTTACAATAAGTATAGTATTACACAGAATATTATCGAGAAAAAAATTAGTTCAAAGGAAAACCCTAGAACCATAGTATGAGACTTTTAAGCTTTCTCTTTTAGTACATATGTAAATTATTAATAGGGTTTGTCTGGTATTAATTATATTCATATCATATTTGTTTTGTTTTTTTTATTTATTTATACAACTTAGAATGACAAACAAGCTGACGGCCCACCTGATGGAAAGTGGTAACCGTCGCCTATAGACATGAGCAGTACCATGGACATAACAGTACACACACATACTGTTTCGTCCATGATACACTCCATGCGTTGCCATTCCTGAGGACTCAGGTGTTATTCCTCTGTACCCTGTAAATGCAATTAATTGTAAATAAGTTTGAGGTATATTTTCTATGATATGTATTAAATTTTCAAAGGCATTTAAGACAATAGATAGAATAGATAGAATTTAGATATCTTTAACACTATATGAATTTACATTGCTTATCCTTCGGGCTATGTCGGTTATTTTGGTCCTTTGCAGATATCCTCGTTTCGGATTCTAAAACAACAAAGAGACTCCGAGCATAGTCATCTCCAATCGGCAATCGTGTAGGACCATGTTTCGGTTCGATAACTCATCACTGGCAACACGCGCTGGCTAAAGACTTTTTTTTTACAATACAGGAGGCAAACGAGCATGTGGCTTACCTGATGGTAAGTGACTACCGCCGCCCATGGTCACCCACAACACCTACGGCATTGCAAGTGTGCTGCGGGCCTTTTAAAAAGGAATATGCTCTTTTCTTGAAGGTTATGTTCGTCTTCAAATTCTGAGGTATTTAATATTAATACAAATACTAACTCCAATTGTG